GGGGGGAGCCTCACTGGAGAATCAACACCGGTTGCATAGTATACCTTTAAGGACATTACATCAAAGTTGGATCAGCTTGTTGTCTGTTTTTTTACTTTAATTGTATGTCTGACTCCAAATCCAGGTTTCCATTGGTTAATAAATGTGTGATTTTATTGTCAGTGCACTCAACTTTGTAAAGAACAAAATATTCAATGAGAATATTTCATTCATTCAGATCTAGGATCTGATATTTGAGTGTTCCCTTTATTTATTTGAGCAGTGTAGATGCATTTACATTTATGCAAATGGAAAGCACAATTTAGCTGCCACTAGAGAATGCCCAAGGAGAAGAGAAATTGTGGTATTTGGTTGTAAAATTAAAAGCAATTAGAAGCTTGACTGAGTAAGAGGGTCCTTTCTGACTAGTAATGCGACTCCATAACCTTCGCTTTGGCTGCTCCTGTGCTGCCCTGACTTATTATAGCTAAGCATATCATCCCATCTTAATTAGCTTCCATATGTGCTTTTTTAATGCAACAGCTGTGAACTAATATTCTGCAAGAGTATTTAACTGTTGGAATGCCAGTAGAAAGAAGGCTGCACAGTTCCAATGGGAGGATGATTTAAACAAAGCACAGGTGGGTAAATCTTTCATGTTATGATATAAACTGATCGTACAGCAGTTCAACTACAGATACACAGATTTATTTCATTAGCGCATTAAGCAGCCATGGCTTACCATCAGGTAAAGCTTGTGCATTGCAGCTCCCTCCATCTGCTAATCTATTATGTTTAGTTTGATTTGTTGATAAATATTCAGTTCTTGTATTAATTAAGACATTATCTATCACTGTGTTTTATCTTTGTCATATGTAGAAAAGAAAAGTGATATCAGCTCCAGGAAGGATCAGTTAGACCAGTGGTCCCCAACCTTTTTTGCACCACGGACCGGGGTCCGTGGTGCAAAAATCATTAAAATGACACGACTGGCATAAAATCCAATACAAACTGCATAAAAATAAAACTCCCCATTATGTTGAATTAGTGGGATCCCTAAGCTTGTTTCTCTGAAACAAGCCGGTCCAATTTAGGCATAATCGGAGACAACGACACACGAAGTGCGCTCCTGCTCCGTAGCTTTGTTTTGGTCGCTAGTAACCGCAAAAAATCCCGCTTCACAAAGATAGGATGTTATAGATAGGATGCGTCTTGAATTAATTAACCTGTGTCAACAGGCACAGATGCACCGACTGATGTAATTGGGAGAGAATACCGCAATTTTTTATATTTTTCAAAATAAAACATCACTCAGACTCTGATCGTTGATAAATTATATATATATATATACACATTTTTCTGTGCGGCCCGGTACCAAATGACCGACGGACCGATACCGGTCCGCAGCCCGGTGGTTGGGGACGGCTGAGCTAGACCAGAGGTCTGCAAACTTAAGAGCCATTTTCGTATCTAGTCCCCTGAAGTAACAACTCAGAAACACAAACTGACCTTATTAAAAACAAAAACTCATGATTATTGCTAGATATCTACAGCAGAAAATGTATCGGCATTTGTAAAGAAACATCACTATTTTAATTTAAATTGAAAAAAAATGACTTTTTTGGAAATTTATAATAAAAACTATTTAAACGAATGACAGAAATATATATTACAGGCTCTTTTACTGTCATTATACCTGAAAATTCAAAGCAATATTTTCATTAAAAAAACTGCATAACTTTATATCTAAAACAGCTAGTTGGGTCTTTATCATTTTTAGCTAAAGTTATTAAGAGCCATTGTGAAAAGGAAAAGTGGCAGACCTCTGGGTTTAGACCGACGTCAAAATAATTGTCATCGGCCATAACAAAAGCTGGATTGGTCTATCTCTAATCAACAATCTCTGACTCTTGCGTGATAATCTTGCATCAAATTATCATGATTTTAAGGAACACGTCGCTTACGTCTGACTATAAGCTCAGATTAGCTTTTTTCTGTCATATTGGCTGCATACAGGGTTCCCTCTATGGACCATCAGCCATAAGTGATCAAGTATTCACTGGAGAGTTTGCACTGGAAGTTCCCCCTGTATAAACAAGCCGGTAGTTAAAGCGGTTGCTGATCTAACAAGTTTAAAGAAGATCATTGTTTCACTTTATCCGTTTTCTTTACTGAGCTCCAACAATAGATAACTTCACTGTAAAGTAAAATGTTTTATTGATCACTTAATGCAAAAACATTGGGCGTTTCCAGACGAACTTGGCCGGTTTACCGTGTCCTTCTTATACACTGCAAAAAATGGAAATCTAAATAAGTCATTTTTGCTCATATTAAGTGGATTTGTTCTTGAATTGAGAAGGTAGGTGAGACACTCTGCCGATAAAATAAGACAATTTACATTTAAAATAGGAAAAAAACAATTGCTTTGTCTTATTTCAAGTGTATATTATCTAATTATCTTATTTTAAGAGTGAAAATACTCATTCCATTGGCAGATCATCTTATTTACCTGCTCAAATTAAGGGTAAATACACTTAATTTAAGAAATTTTTTACTTATTTCTAGATGTTTTTTGCAGTGTATTTTACTTTTT